CTATGAAATTGCTTAATTGCTTATTGTCTCGATACATTTCCTGTGGTGCTGGCAGGGAGAATTTGGGTAGCAATCAGGAGCTTCTTTAGTTGGTGATCATTTCCTTTATTCTCCTGACCTTGATGTGTGATTCAGGGATGATATTGTAAGGAGAAATTAGATACTGGTCACTCTTGGGTTTAAAGGGTTTATGTTTGCAGAAGATTGTGCAAACATTCAGACTGAAACAATGGAATGGGAGTTCTTAAATTTCCGCTAAATTTTGACTTAGAAAAGTTAGGTATAAAAACTTCCAAAAAAAGGAGTCAAAGAAAACTTCAAAGAAGAACTGGAAAAGAAGTGTTTCATTCCAAAAACAAGTATACTAGCACTTCAACACAATTTGTAACACGTACCTGACAAATAATTGGCTTGCAGCGGTGACAGAGCGACGTAGTTCTTGAGGACGAAAAGAAATTGAGTGACTAAGTTTACACGTAGCAAGATCTTCCTCAGCTTGTGAAGCATTCTCGCAAGAATTTGAGCCATCTTCACTGAACAGCCTTCAAAGGGGCAAGTTTGGTGGAAAAATGCAGGAATCATTCAAACAGTGCAAGGTAAATACGTTATGGAATGCCATTTTCAACTCTGATTCCTCCAAAAAGTTAGGCGAATATTTGAAACTTGAACGCGATATTTGCAAGCTTTTGTGTTTGCCACCACGCGATGAGATTTCTAATTAAAAACAGTTGTTTTGGCGTAAAAGGTAATACTCTTCTTCTCATACTCATTTCGTTTGTTGTGTACAATACCACTTAATTAACCTGAAAGTATCTTCCTCACGTACAGGCCTCATGTGCAGGCCTCACGTGCAGGCCTCACGTGCAGGCCTCACGTGCAGGCCTCACGTGCACTCGTCACCGCACGTTTTGTTGACTCGTGCTATTCTTCGCGCGGCCACTTTATAGGAAGCCTGACAGATTTTATAGATGTCTCTGCAAGAAGATATGCCTGGACGAAGTAAGGTACCAAGAAAAAACGTTTAAGAATTTCAATGCCTTCAGAAGGCGAAGTCCAACATCATATCACCATCTACCTCTTCAATTGAACAAGAATCGAAAGTGAAGATGAGGATTCTGACACAAAAGCAAAAAGCGCCGAGGTGAGTCTGCGTGATGTTCTATCATTTCATCGCTCGAAACGATCCTTCAAAAGTTTCAGTACCTTAAAAACAGAGCTCGTGATAAACAGGGCATGCACGTTTCTAGGGATTTTTGGGCTGATGTTTTTTGTTTACGAAAGCACTTCGTGGGTAGGCAATGCCTTTCTCGAGAGGTCGATTATAGAAGTAGACAAACTGTCAGAAATTATACATCATGTGCATGTTCAATATGACCATCCAAAGTACAAAATGGGAGGTTTTAGGAAACAGACAGCATTTCCTTGTCATTTACTTTTTAATATGTAGTCAGGTTTGGTGAATTTTAAAAGGGTTGCATTGCATTACTATGGTAAACTTTGATTGCAGAAAAAGGAAAGTAGAAAAGGAGCAATTGCTTATATGCATGTGTCCTCAGCAAAAAGTTCAGATTCAACAACAATCATCTGCAAAAATCTGGAGTCCTTAGCGTTTACTGTTAACAAGGAATCAAGCATTGCATCAGCTGGGAAGAAAACAAATTCATAAAGACTATCAAGTATTAGTGTCATCTTTTTAAGAAGTCTGTCTGACTTTTATCGTGAGTGGCCAAATTAAGTACAATTTAAACACATTTTTATATACATGGAAAAATCATGCACTTCCAATTGGCTGCAACTGAGTGCATTTTTCATGTAACACAAATGTAGAATTAAAAACAAGTGCAAAGTTGTAACACAAGACAGTGTTAAATCACAAATGGTCGTGTGTCTTGACGCTCTTTGATGCTTTTTTCATGTAAATTGCTGATAAGTAATAACATGATTTCTCATGCACTGTAGCATTAATTAAATTAAGCACTTGTTAAGTTTTCAAAGACTACAAATTACACTTGCTTTATGTTCTCTTGCAAATTAATTTTGTTTTCTGTGAAGAGTTTATTTGTGCTTGATTGACACCAAATTAGTCTCACTTGAAAATGTCATTACCTGAACATGATTAATTCAAAATGCTGTTAAGCCTTGGATTAAATTTAAGAACTGACGTAGTCTTCTGGGCATTTCTTATGATCAACATAATGATTTATTGAAATCCTGAGATTTTTCTCCTTTATTTGAAACTGCATGAATTGGTAATTCAAAGATTTCCTATAGTGGACTGTAAACAATTAGTGATAATATAGAGGCTATTTTGCACTGCCCTTTTAAGGCTTTAAAGCCCTAAATATTTCTGAACATTGTTGTAGTTCATCTCTCTTGACGTTCTAAAATTTGTCCCTATGTATTTCGTGTTACTTGCGTAGTATAATTTCGGCTGAGGGTCAGTTAGCGTCGAGCTGTTTCGATGCTTAGGCAAGTGTTGGGTTTAACGTGAGCTCGCACAATTGGGGTGCAGGACACTCAACTGCTTTGCAATCAACTGAATTTGTTTTATTGCTAGAATCAAGGTTCTTATATAGTTATATAATGGTAGCTAAATCATATGTGATACAGAATACAGAAGATAACTTGAGTTTCCCTTGGAATAATCAATTTAATTACTACATATCCGCAATTTCACAGATATGGGAGGACACTTTCGTAAATCCTGCAGAACTAGTGTTCCTACGTGTTATCAGATGGAAAACACATACAAGTTTCCATATTCTATGCGACACGTAGTAGGAATATTTTAACGAATACTCTAGCAACAAAGGGTTACACATAACATATTTCTGGTTGTAATTATATAATCAAAGTGTACTTTAGAATTGTTTGTCATGCTTTGTCAAGCTATGCTTAACTTTACAACACTTGCTTTCCCGAAACTAAATAAACATTCTCGCTCCCTTAGACAGTTATAGCCTCTATGGCTTCTTTGATGAACCCTGTTTTGTTTCAACAGATCACCACATTAGCACTTAATGAGCACACACTCATTATGTTTATTTCCTCTGGACCCCTGTCAGGTAAACCTGTCCCTTTCTCCTTGGTTACTTAATATATCACAATGGTTACTGGCCTAACCAGCCTTCCCTTATTCATTATCATCATGACAGACTGAAACCAATTATATGAGTTCATGGAGACAGAGCCAGCCTCATTGCGAACCTTATTTATTATCATCATGACAGATT